TCCACTGAAGCCACGCCCCTGACTCTGGCTCCACCCACTCCACTAAAGTCACGCACCTGACTGCCCCACCCACTCTGCTGAAGCCACGCCCCTGACTCTGGCCCCACCCACTCCACTAAAGTCACGCACCTGACTCTGGCCCCACCCACTCTGCTGAAGCCACGCCCCTGACTCTGGCTCCACCCACTCCGCTGAAGCCTTGCCCCTGACTGGCCCCGCCCCATCCACTGAAGCCACGCCCCTGACTCTGGCTCCGCCCACTCCACTGAAGCCACGCCCCTGACTGCCCCACCCACTCTGCTGAAGCCACGCCCCTGACTCTGGCTCCGCCCACTCCACTGAAGCCTTGCCCCTGACTGGCCCCACCCCATCCACTGAAGCCCCGCCCACCTGCAGCACATAGTCCAGCCCCCTGGCTCTGGCCACGCCCCTGGCCCCGCCCAGCGCCGCCGCCGCCTCCTGCGCCTCCAGGGGGCGGCGCCGCGGGACCTCGGCGTGGTGCTGCAGCGCCCCCTGCAGGAGCTCGGCCGAACGCGCCCGCTCACGGCCCGCAGAGCGCAGCCCCCGGAGAGCCCTGGGAACGGCAAAAACGGGGGAAAACACCCCAAAATGGGGGTGAAATACACCCTGAGCCCCCGGAGAGCCCTGGGAATGGCAAAAACGGGGGAAAACACCCCAAAATGGGGGTGAAATACACCCTGAGCCCCCGGGCCCCCGGAGAGCCCTGGGAATGGCAAAAACGGGGGAAAACACCCCAAAATGGGGGTGAAATACACCCTGAGCCCCCGGAGAGCCCTGGGAATGGCAAAAAGGGGGGAAAATAACCCAAAATGGGGGTCAAACAACACCTCAGCCCCCGGAGAGCCCTGGGACCACCCCAAAAATGGGATTAAACCCCCCCAAAAAGGACCAAACCCCACCAGAGACACCAAATCCCCCCGGGATCCCCCTGAAAACCCCCAAATCCCCCCCAGATCCCCTCCAGGACCCCCCAAATCCTTCCAGGACCCCCCAAAT